AACGTCATGGCCTCAGAACTGCGGCAATAGGCCGTATTTTGATATTATCCATTTGTGCTTTATATTAATGTAATTGCATCTGACGTGTGAAGAGATACATTTTTATAAGTTGGGATCATGTTTAAAGTAAGTGTTTTCTATTCGCCGTCCTATGCGATCAACAAGGAACCAATCTATATAATAGTATAACTTCACTCATCTGCATCCTTCTTGTTCTAAGTGTCAAAAATTGATATTGACTGTTATATGTGCTTTAGTATGGCTAGCATTTTCGAAAATACTGTTTTAAGTGTATGTTTTCCTGTTATCCACAGAAGCGCAAACAACGTTTCCCTTGTCACTGTTTGTATAAACACAAATTACATAGACCTACGTTACATCATGGATTGAATGAAAGCTTACCGGACTCACTGACTGACTGGACAGGGTTTACTACATGTCATAAAAGTGAACCCTTGCCAGGGAATAATAGACGTATTATACGTTCCTTAATTGGTACCGTCTAATTGACACCTGTCACAAGGGGTGGGCCGTTTGGGTTTGTGGTCAGAGACGGTGTTATTTAATTGGTGTATTCACGAAATATCATGAACTTGTTAATAGATAATTGTTTAGGTTGTCCACACAGGCGCGGACTGAGGCAAAAACAAACAGGGACGACAAAGTGGACGAATTCCTTCTTAAATTAATCATAGTGTAACTAATTAATTTGGTCATTTACAATAAAAGGTGACTAAATGTTTAATACATTATTCACTTTAGATCACTTTGCATAATTTCTAGAGAAATCAGTACACAAGTTCATATCACAGATGATTCCAGAGACAAATAGTATATGAGATTCTAGTTTATGAAAAGCATTAAATTCCAAAATAAGCAAGCCAATCTGATCTCTAATGCTCATGAATTATTACCACTTATATGACAATAGTTTGAGAAGGTGTCTGCTCAGGAAGCCGACCCTTCGATATTTATAAGACTCAGGACGTCAACAAGCTGTACGCTTTGAAGTTTGGGTGTTATTTTAGCACATGGATAATCTCACGTGACGTGTTATTACAATGCTGGTGGTTGATGGAAGTGAACACATCGCACACGGAAGCCGAACGTGTCAACACATGATCATAATGATGAACATATTTAACATAACAAGAAAATATGGTCGCGACGGGTGATTCAGGACACTACTCTAGCTGATATAAAAATGTGTAGTTCAACTATCAGAGGAAACAGCAAAGAGCGACAATGGAGAGTGATATCATGAAACTATAACTAGCTGATATAAAAATGTGTAGCTCAACTATCAGAGGAAACAGCAAAGAGCGACAATGGAGAGTGATATCATGAAACTATAACTAGCTGATATAAAAATGTGTAGCTCAACTATCAGAGGAAACAGCAAAGAGCGACAATGGAGAGTGATATCATGAAACTATAACTAGCTGATATAAAATGTGTAGTTCAGCTATCAGAGGAAACAGCAAAGAGCGACAATGGAGAGTGATATCATGAAACTATAACTAGCTGATATAAAATGTGTAGCTCAACTATCAGAGGAAACAGCAAAGAGCGACAATGGAGAGTGATATCATGAAACTATAACTAGCTGATATAAAATGTGTAGCTCAACTATCAGAGGAAACAGCAAAGAGCGACAATGGAGAGTGATATCATGAAACTATAACTAGCTGATATAAAAATGTGTAGCTCAACTATCAGAGGAAACAGCAGCAAAGAGCGACAATGGAGAGTGATATCATGAAACTATAACTAGCTGATATAAAAATGTGTAGCTCAACTATCAGAGGAAACAGCAAAGAGCGACAATGGAGAGTGATATCATGAAACTATAACTAGCTGATATAAAAATGTGTAGCTCAACTATCAGAGGAAACAGCAAAGAGCGACAATGGAGAGTGATATCATGAAACTATAACTAGCTGATATAAAAATGTGTAGCTCAACTATCAGAGGAAACAGCAAAGAGCGACAATGGAGAGTGATATCATGAAACTATAACTAGCTGATATAAAAATGTGTAGCTCAGCTATCAGAGGAAACAGCAAAGAGCGACAATGGAGAGTGATATCATGAAACTATAACTAGCTGATATAAAAATGTGTAGCTCAACTATCAGAGGAAACAGCAAAGAGCGACAATGGAGAGTGATATCATGAAACTATAACTAGCTGATATAAAAATGTGTAGCTCAGCTATCAGAAGAAACAGCAAAGAGCGACAATGGAGAGTGATATCATGAAACTATAACTACAAGTCTTCCTCAACACTGCAGTATCAGCTCATTATTGCAGCAAACCCAAGTCAATGAGTATTAACCCCATGGTCTAATAGAGGGTGACCAGCACTGATGCAGTCAAAATATGCAGTGTGGGTGACAAAACCGGTTGTAATGCGTTATGCATTCTCTACATTTGACCTATAAGTAATCTTACTGAATTCAAGTCTTACAGATTTGGTTAGTTCCTGAAATTAGTAATGGTAGTGGACTGTTGTTGTTTTTTTATTTATCTATTATTTGGTAGATATATATATTCAAAAAAAAAAAAATATATATCGCCTGCATATCAGGCGTCAGAATGAGAGCCGTTTTGAGGTGTATTTTTTGCAATACCGGAACTGATCGCAGGTGGTTCATAAATTACTTGGTTCCCTATCTGCTGACCGACTAGATATGCGTCTAAGTACAAGAATGTACACTGGCCTTAAAGTAAAAGGTCAATTTCACCCACTGAGTGAACATATAATGCGCTGTGATTAGCTGTTATGGGGTGTGGATCTAGTCTGTCTCACAGTCCCTGATCCACAATATTTTCCCTACTGCCGAGACCTTTCTGCAATGCTAAAACCCTAAATGAAGCAAGTCTAGATTTCCTCAGGTTCTGGTTTCCCTGGGGCTCCTTTCCAATTTATAATGGGTTTGTTTGTTACTATCAAACTTTTATATATAATTCAGAGACTTATTAAGCGATAGTCTTGATACGAGACCTCACACTCGCGATCAAGTTATACTAGCAAACAATTTCTTCCACTTGCGAAATCTTGAAATATATTCTGTCATCAGACAAGCATCGCCTTTGATATAATTGTAGTGCAGCTTTTTTCTACAAAATACTCCGATTACGATACAAACCATGCATTTCCCATAGCTTTGCTTCCAAGTCACCTCGTGTAGTGCGCGAAAACTGTAGCAAACGGGATCCGATTTGACACAAAACATGAGCGGGCCTTCATGTGAAACATGAATTCAATTTATTTACAGATTATTACAGCGTTATTTTGATTGAAGTATCAAATGTTTTAAGTATTTAAACGTGTTCTTGGTGGCATATTAGTATTGTCTGTCAGCTCCCACAATATCTACAGACATTATTGAATTATTAGCTAAGTGCTCACTTCGACGTTACCGCTTTTTAACTTTCAGCTTTTTGACGCACAGAGCGTGCCACGCTCTGGCATGGAACTCTGGGTAGGAGAGTGAAAGCGTGCCGGCATATTGCCGAAAGTTAGTGAGAGCGAAACAGTGATGTTATGGCGAACACTTATTGATATGTATATTTGAAAAAACAGTACAAACCCTGATAGCATATATGTAGACAATAATTTCTCCATTGTTTATTTCTGAACATATATCCAGGTGTTAGAGAATTTTATAGAAAACCCTGTGTCGCCGAAAGGTCGCAGACGTTATATACATAATATTTTTGATTTTTCAATAACAGCACTGAAGTTTTATAAAAATACAAAAGAAACACACCCGAAGGTCCTGAGACGACCCTCTATCCAACCATCCACTTTGGGATAGCTATTAAAGAAAATGAACATAGTTGTGACATGCAGATATTTAGGCGACAGTAATATATCATTAGGGCGACAGCTGTCGCCTAAAGGTCGACATTGTCTATATATATATATATATATAAAACATAAATTATGCAAGCTTAACGACGTTTCATTTTTCATATTTTATCCTTGTCATTAGAAATTTCATGAAATTGCGTCAGTACCGTAACTAAATTTGTAACGTCATTTTGAAAAGAACAAATATAAAGATGATATTCATTTAATTACATATATATTAAAATATCTAGTTTTACAATATAACATGGCTAATGAGTTTCGAAATAATATATTTATTGCTTAAAAGGGTCCAAAAGGCCAACAAATTCCTTTCATTTCGGATTTGCAAATGTAAAGTAATGTGTAGCAAAAAAATCCAAAATGAGAATATGTATTATATTATGCTAATTTGAAGCTCTACTACCAAACATACTTGTTAGTCAGATATTTCAAAATGTTTGAAGAATATGTAATAGGCAGTAGATTTACTTATGGATGTCCCTGTCATGTTACGGCAGTGACATTGTGACGGTATATAATGTCACTACCTTAACGGCCCTATTACAGCCGTTTTCCTCTTTGTCACAGCCGTTACACTACCCCGTCCTTACCGTAACAACAAAATCATACTTAAATCCGTATTAATTTTATTTATTTGATACAAAAATTGTATGTTAAATAAGATTCCAAAACATTTGTTTGATACAAACAACAGTAAACTAGAAAGATGTCACTGCCGTCACAAAATCTGCCCTTACCGTAACCAAACCCATGATAACGGCAGTGACCGTAACGGTAGCGACAGCGACTAACAATTTCAGTTTAAAACAATAACTGGTGCCCAAAGTTTACTGAAAACATGGTTTCAAATGATTTCCCCTACTGCCTAAGGTACTTGGCATTGTTTGGCTTCACAAAATTAATTGGTTTCAGCGGTACCCAATCTCAGATACCATTTTGTACACACCTCTTTTGCGATAATATTAAGAAAAATGATTTTTATTTATGTCAATGTTTGACGTTCATGTTTCCTCACTGCCATTGCTTGCAAACATGGAGTAGAATCAGGAGACAGTACTTGGAGTAATCATTATTGCAATTTTGGGGGCACTTGCTGGTAAAACAAACGTGTGCAGTGAAACTCGCACACCTGAATCCTACATGCAGAAATCTATCTTTGGTCGCCTTTAAGGCAATTTAACTGCCTTTTGGTACAGAGACGAATTCTTAACGATTCACGTGATTCCGATCACTGACCGCCAGAGGAAGTTGGTAAGATAATACATGGCTTCGCACAGGACATGCCACTATTCAGTACCCTCAGAATGAGAACACAACAGTACTTCCATGGCCTTCTAAATCGCCCGACCTCATCGAGCCTTTGTCATTTACTCCCCGAAGAAATTAATGAAACATGTAGGAGTGAAATTGGCTCGGTGTTTCTTTCAATCTATTGAAATATATCTAACTGTATACCTGTGAACTTTAAGAAAAAATCATATATATATATGATTTATTCAAATATATTTAGTTTTTAAAGTCCATTGCTGGTATCAGAGCCTGTCTGTTCAGTATATGTTTAAAATACATACAACTGAATACTGCAAGCAAATTTGTGAGAAAGGCAAGTGAGATATTAAGCGACAGTAGTCACATATTTCATTCAGAATATCAGATTTTAACAAAAGCCAATCACTGTGCTGGAAACAGACTGAGTCCGAGAGTGATTCATAGGCGTCAGTAGTAGTCCTTTGTATGGTTATCAGTTGAATATTTTCAACAGTTCATGAAAAGATGTTAAAGAACGCCTGAATCCATCATACCGTGACAGAGATTAACTAAGGATTACAGAAATCCAATGTTTGTTTAACTGTTTGTGAGTGGTATGTAATTCGCACATTTTTACAGCTATGATCCACAGACAGAGTACAATATGGGCCTTGTAGTATGATGATCTGACTTGCTACTCAAGCCAAACATATTATGTCAGTGATGCCACTGATGTCGACTTGACACGCCTTGATAACCATATAGACTCTACAGAGTCTGTGTTGGTGTAACTGATCTCCCGTTATCAAAGCTATATTTGGTTGTCCTTGCATAGTTAATGCCATTTCTCGCTAAATTTGTTCACGAGTGAGGTATGTATGAACGACATCCAGCTATGCCTGGGTCTAACATGACAAGAGTGAGTGAATAAGGTTTAAAACGCTGCTTTCGAAAAAGATTCCAGCAAAGAAGGAGACACCAGAAATGGCCTTCCTACATTCTGCCCATGTGGAGAATCGAACCCGGGACATAGGCGTGGCGAGCGATCGCTTTACCCACTAGGCTATCCCCGCTTCCCACCACCCTTAAAATTCCCTTACAAGGGCAACAAGGGATGACTGGGCAAAATCATCAGATACCTGTATAACTGGGTTGAAATGTTAACCAACAAGAAAGCAGGGGGTTTGTATTGTGGTTCTACATGACTCACACAGCTGACTGATCCCTACGTTGTGCGTGTTATTTTATGTACCAGTAATACTGAGTACCTTTGTACATTACAGTCAACATATACCCGAGATCACTGTTTTGATCACATTGGAAAATTCAAATTCGTAGATTCAAATAAAGATTCCAGGTACTTATAACAATGAAACAGAATCAACAAGATCATGTCACGACATTTATTGCACTAAACTAACCAACAACCTGTCCATACAGTTCATTCATACATCCAAGATATTTGCGTAGAGCACAGTCATCCGATCGGATGTGAGAACAACGGACTTGTAAACCACCTCAAGGAATGTCCTTCCTTGCTATGTCAGATATTCGTGAAAAGGTGATGACAGTTCATATAATACCGTGTTGTCAGCGCGGTTATTACAGTAGCAATATATAGATATAACATTAGCATCTGTGGCAGAATGATGTTCACTAGAACAATGTGTTTCAGCAGAGGCGGAAACCGCTTGTGAAGTTGTTTTGTATTTTGGAAAATCCGGATATAGTATGTACAAACACACTCGGTACCAGCCTTGTCTCATGTTGAAGTTGGCACAAGTCACTCTATCACAATGTTGTCCGGGGCGATGTCCGAAGACAATCAGTCATAAATATAACACATATCAAGAAATACTTTACACTACAGAGTTCATCAGTCCAGGCGTTTAAGCCTTGGCCATTTCCTCGTCATCCTGTTTGCCCTTGACCTTGGCGGTGAAGGCCACGTAGTTGAACATGCCCTTGGAAATAGGGGCCTCCTTCCACGTCTGTTTGATCTCCTCCTTCGTGAAGTTGTCTCCCATGTTCTCCAGGAGATCCTTGATGTACTCCTCGGGCAGCACGCCCTTGCCCTCCTCGTCAAACATGGCGAAGGCGCTACGGATGGTCTCCTCGCCGTCCGTCCCTCCCATCTTCTCCCCGAACAGGTTGAGGAAGGTGGTGAAGTTCAGGGGACCAGGGGCCTCCTTCAACATCTCCTTCAGCTCGGAGTCGGCGGGCACTTTGCCCAGGTTGCCGTAGATGCTCTTCAGGTCGTCTATTTCGATGACGCCGTCCCTGTTGACGTCGATGAGGGCGAAGGCTTCCTTGAACTCCTGCACCTGAGACTGACGGAACATGGAGAACACGTTCTGGGGAGCCATTGCTGGATGAAGGAGCTGTGAGCAGACAACGTCAGACTTCTAAACGTGATGGAAGTGAGAATGATTTGGAAGGAGAATGTCCTGTCTATTTAGGTCCAACATCTACATCATGTGACATCTGTTATGAAACAGTCAATCTGGTACTCCTTGGACGTCATGTGGTCATTTGTCTGGAACCTGATATCAGATAGCGGGAATCTGCACGCGCGCTTACGCAATCAGATGAACTTCCTAATACCTGGTTCCCTGCTGTCATAGTTTCGTGTATTACACAAATTTCGGCAAGATGAGTTATATGGGGGAACTCAAGCAGTGCCTGTGTTAGCAATAGACATGTATTTCAGTTCGTTGTTTCCTTAAATTCGTCATGATTTTTTTCAAATGAAACGGAAGTAATTGTATCATTTCAAATGAGATCTAGGTGATGGGCCTGTTGACCTGATTTTATGTTAGTGTTAGGACACTTCATTTTGTATTTTGTATTTTGAACGCACTCTCCTGTCCGGATTAAATGTTACGCTTTCATTATATTTCTATGTCTGGTATTTAACAACATGAGTATGTACTGTGTACAAACAAATCTGGAGATTGAGAGCAATGTAATACCATGCAAGTTATACAAGGCCAGATCCATACAATCTTTGGACAGTTCGATAGGGGCGTAATTTAATCAACAGGTGACACCTGATATACATAATTATCAGAGCGAGGTAGCACAAATACAAACACTGGCTTTGTTAGACCCAGGTCATACATACGTGTACAACTGTAACAGTTTCGGATGCACACAGTCACCTCTAGTCGTTGACGTCAGGGTTAAATATTGCGTTCTTTTATAACCAAACGGCAAGCTATTCAGACCTTAAGCTTATGTTAAAAGAATATACTGGATACAAGTGGTTTTCAAATACAACGGTAAATTCTTAAGGGCATTCAATATTTAACAACAACAATACAGAGAACAGACTTTCCAGAACGAAATGTACTGAGTGTATATATTCATTCTGAACAAGTACGCGATGCATTTGTCAGTATAATGGCAAATGGATAAGTTGAAACGTTTCTACCCCAAAGGAGTACGCACACGTTGTATGAATTATGTTAAATTCATGGAAATGGATAGTGTGTCACGCCGCAGTAGTAATAGTTTGGGACACACAAATAAATATAGAAGTCTCCCAAAATTATAATGAGCTCGGAGAATACATAAACAAATCTTTAGTGAAGAGAAAATAATTATGCCATAACTGTTGAATTTATTCAAAGTAGTGATGACTGTTATCTCAACTCTTTCAACACGGTAAACCGGACACCGACAACACTGTCATCAACATGAATACAAAACTAAGCAAGAGTGTAAATGTTCTAGTCTACCCTGTATTAGATCTTCCGAATTCCCCCATACACCTACAAATTAAGAATTCTAAGGAAATGTTGACTCTAAAAATGTTGTCATTCGCTTGAGTAAGCCCCAAAACCTTTCCCGCAAAGATAGATACCAGTGGAGTTGACTGTAACAAAGGTTGTGCAGTATATACCACTTGCAAATATCATATTACTTTAATCCTCGTGTGGTTGTCCTGCTCCCACAAAACCTGCGTCATTGCTGATTTTCAGTAATATATTCTTGTGTTGAGCTGCTATTTCAGATGTACGCACAATGGAATCTCTTCCCATTACCAATCTATGATGGTCCGTGCATGGGCCCTGTCTGTATGTGATATGGGAAACACTAGACTAACGCTCAGTCTCTGAATATATAGAATTTTGACAACAACAAATAGAGCCATTTAAATTGCAGGGAAGGCTAGGCATTAGGGAAAATAAAGTGGTCAAGGGACTGTGAGACAGACTATGGGAAACACGTGTCAGTTTCAGAGTTGCACTCGAATAACCTACTTAATTATTGCCAAACAGTCAGGTACCACCCATGGGCACCATGCTGCTCGGACATTCAACATTAAAACATAGTTTCAATATTGATCATATGGAAGTAACAACACTCCACGACGAGGGGTGGGGGTAGGGCTGGGAGTTCGGGGGTGGGGGTTAGGGCTGGTATGTTTACCAGTCTGCTTAAGACGTAACGTTAGTATCCCCTCCTAGGGGTATCTGACTAACTACCGTCATTATTTCAATAGGACCAATGGGGTCGGGGTCAGGGGTCGGGGCAGGAGGTCGGTACTACTGAAATATCCAATAAACAGATGAAGGTCACGTGATGAAAACATTCTGGGTATAAATGATTTAGAAACGTTATCGATATCATTCTGTTCTTCAACCATCCTTTAGTTTCAAGTCCTATACGATATAATTATCAGAGATGGCTCCCCAGAACGTGTTCTCCATGTTCCGTCAGTCTCAGGTGCAGGAGTTCAAGGAAGCCTTCGCCCTCATCGACGTCAACAGGGACGGCGTCATCGAAATAGACGACCTGAAGAGCATCTACGGCAACCTGGGCAAAGTACCCGCCGACTCCGAGCTGAAGGAGATGTTGAAGGAAGCCCCTGGTCCCCTGAACTTCACCACCTTCCTCAACCTGTTCGGGGAGAAGATGGGAGGGACGGACGGCGAGGAGACCATCCGTAGCGCCTTCGCCATGTTTGACGAGGAGGGCAAGGGCGTGCTGCCCGAGGAGTACATCAAGGATCTCCTGGAGAACATGGGAGACAACTTCACGAAGGAGGAGATCAAACAGACGTGGAAGGAGGCCCCTATTTGCAAGGGCATGTTCAACTACGTGGCCTTCACCGCCAAGGTCAAGGGCAAACAGGATGACGAGGAAATGGCCAAGGCTTAAACGCCTGGACTGATGGACTCTGTAGTGTAAAGTATTTCTTGATATGTGTTTTATTTATGACTGATTGTCTTCGGACATCGCCCCGGACAACATTGTGATAGAGTGACTTGTGCCAACTGAGAGCAGCTACTGTTTCTATTTATTCTGTGTGTGGACAGCTCAACATTACACCACTTCATACATTTTGACAATTCTATAATTGGTGAGCAAGACAATAAATTAACATTTCTTTATATGTGTCATATTTGTGAATGATTGTCCTCGTGCAACGCCCTGGTCACCACTGTGATAGCATAACTTACAACATCTACAGGAGACAGGTTCACAGATGTGTCCATGTGTAGGTTGCGCAGGATTCTGGCAGTGGACACGTGACACATCTATGGTGTTCCCATGTTTTTACAGAAACCTTAATCTGTCTATCGATGTTTTCCGAATATATGATATTACTGTGCAGGTAGATTGTTTTGGTAGTAAATCATAGCAGCTCATTCCAATAAATGTTGTAAAACATGACGTGTATGATTCTGTTCTGTTGTGGGGGTTATAGTTCAACAAACGGTCACAAGCAACATCGTCTTTTCGTACGTTGTGACTGCAAGTTCCCGCTCTGTGTTTGTACTGTTGTTCTCGTAAGCAGGGTGTTTCCCGTATGCTTGGGGGCGGTGGGGTAGTCTAGTGGTGAAAGCGTTGGCTCGTCACGCCGAAGACCCGGGTTCGAATCCTCACATGGGTACAATGAGTGAAGCCCATTTCTGGTGTCCCCCGCCGTGATATTGCTGGAATATTGCTAAAAGCGGCGTAAAACCAAACTCAGTCAGTCAGTCAGTCCCGTATGCTTGCCAACATGCCGAACAGCCGACATTGCCTGAAATGAAATTACTGGAATATCCGATATTGTGACAGATGACTGTCAAGTGATGAAAATAGTCTGGGTATTATAAAGGATTTGAAAATGTTATGATGATCATTCAGTTCTTCGATCATCCTGTAGTTTTACGTTTTATACGATATTTTATCAGAGATGACGGTGGAAACATGACACATTTGTGGTGTTTCCATGTTGCTGTAAGAACCTTATCCTGTCTTTCAATGTTTTCCAGTTGTGTTGTGAAATACCGTTAAGTGCCTGACAACCAACAGTACATAACATACTGAACGTGCCTGACTCCCAAAATTTGCCTGACATGCCTTTCAACCGACATTGCAAGGAATGCCTGACACCCAATATTTGCATGACATGCCTTTCAACCGACATTGCAAGAAATGTTTGACTGCCAACACTTGCCTGACATGCTCGACTGCAGTACTGTACTTTAAGCGGTTTATCCTACATATGGTACGTAGGATACTTTTCCGAGGGGCAAACGTAATGAGGTGCCAACTAGTTAACAGAAGATCTTCAGTCACTGGCGGGGTCTTCGATACTGAACACTGTGGGGCGCGGTGGGCGAGCTGGCTTAGGCGCCAGGCGAGTGATCGAGCGAGGTTGTGTTGCCGGGATCGAGCCCACCTGTGACCGGGTGTGAAAACGTTGGAGTCAACTTTTGTGTGCAGACTCTTTCAGTGTTGTCACAACCCCTAGTGTACAGTACACAACCCTGTGCACTTAAAAGAATCCACGAATCCGTTGGTATATGACCAGACGGTGGCCACATGAATACGTGCAAACACCTAGTTGCGGGTACAGCAACGTGCAGTGAACATGGGCAAAGTACTGTGACTATGTGCCCCAGTTCACCCAGCTGTGAATCGGTACCTCGTTAGGATGAGAATGCCACAATAACTCGGTGCGCCTAGTGGCTGCAAGATTTGCATACTCCCCAGGGAGTTGAGATTGATAACACGTTGTGCCGTTGAGATTGGCATCCAATGATCGAGGGAAAAATACCAGCGCCTTGAGCAAGCACTAGTTGCCAGGATATGTGCGCTAAAGAAATATCGTATAATAATAGTATAATATATAACGTTAATATAACTGGCTACAGCGTGCTGCATTTAAGGGATGATAACAGGATACACTGGGATTTGAATTATAGAAAGAAAGTTTATGTCAGTCTTTTCACATTCGGCTCAGACTTACTGTCAGCAACCTAACCACAGATCTGCGGTATATTAGGCATATTCTGGATATTAAAACTTGCGTCTGTGGATGTCACAAATGTGCTATACTTTTCGGTTTTAGTGGTGACATACAAAATATATATTTTTACCAAAATCTTTGCTAGTTATAATTCGTACTTGAGAAATGAAGACCAAATACAAAGCTTCATATTTAAAACTGGTCAATTGAGTTAAGTAAATGAACTGAAAAATATTTATGTCACACATATTTATTGTTCAGTGTCAAATTCAATATTCATTGATAGATTAATTGTAAACCCGCGTTTTGATTTATTGAGAGATATTTATTTAGGTGCTTAACCTGTTTCCAGTCCATGTTCATATCTTGCGAAATTTAAGTATGATTAAATATATTAGAGACTGATTTCATGATTTCTCTCAACATTCAAAGGAAACGTTTTAGGAAATGTTATGAAGGTATGGTCCTTTAGTATGTGTCTGAGTCGCTTTGAATGGAACATGTAGATCGTGTTATGTACTCGTACACACTGTTTGATAAGTTACCCCCAGTAGTGCATAAAATGTAAACATCTAACGGACATCAAATATCAGTCACGTGGTCACTTCACGTTGGCTCCGGCAAGCTCACTGTTGAATTGTGGTTGTTTTATGTCTGACAAGTAGAATCTTTCTAAATAGAACATGGTTTTACCAAGATACACACCCTTGGCTCTCAGGGACATCTACATAAATATGACCAGCAGTCAGTGTTGATGTACCCGCCCTACTGGCCCATACACTACTCAGGTAATCATTAGACAGTCCGAAGTACTAATTATGATCCTCACCAGGCACTAATCGCTCCATAAATCGAAAACAAGAGGAGATTGAGTTCATCACTGTAATGGGTAGTTCTTCTGTAGTGAGGTGGACATTAATTTTATATTTTTGAGGAGGGATGATGTCACGAATACATGATATCACGAATACATGACACGTTTTATGGATAACAACTTCTATTTATATGACGTTTCACAGCTAATTCTTGATCCTTCATCCGGTGAATGCTGAGTCAGTTCACAAAGTGAATACATATAGATAAAACATGTTTACACAACGCAAGGTGAGAGAATGTACCAAGATATCACGTATTTAATGTAATTACTTTCAGAATAAAGAAACTATGTTAAATATTACAAATTGTAGTTTGTTATAATTAGTGTCTAACATTAATCTTCGTGTGTGTAACGAAGTAATTTGTGTTTCACTGTATACCATCATACTTAGACCACGACTTGCATTATTTCAATGTTTACAGAATAGTTCTAATTTGTTTTGGTTACAGTTGAAATAAAGTAACTAAAAGGTATACAAGGTAAACAACAACCAACAAACAGCAACACAAAACGGTATTACTGTAACGGTATATGCATATGATGTAACGGCGTATGCATATGATTTAACATTTTACAAAAGTAGTGTGGTTTGGAATTCTTCTTTTTAAAAAAGAGTTACGAGGATGAATTCGAGCTTTGGACGTTAAGAGGATTGACGTTGAGATTTGTATAGAGCAAAAGATAGGCCGAGCCAGAATACGGGAGCAATCCTGACCACGTGCCATGTGAGAACCACTAGGATCTGAATCTATAATGACACGTATATATCTTGAAGCGACGGTTCAACTTTATGCACATGTGTACACGTTTCATCTTTGAGGGGCGGCGAGTAGCCTAGTGGTTAAAGCGTTCGCTCGTCACACCGAAGACCCCGGGTTCGATTCCCCACATTGGTACAATGTTTGAGGCCCATTTCTATTGTCCCCCGCCGTGATATTACTGGAATATTGCTAAAAGCGGACTAAAACCAAACTCACTCACTTCATCTTAACCGTGCTTCCTCATATTTCAAGACAATGACTTCGTTTTAATCCACTATCTACATTTACTCATAGTTTTGTGAAAAATATGAACATGGTGTATATAAATAATTACATTTAGTTACACTGAGGACATCATGAATCGAAGCGGTGGATCTTGGTGTGTTCTTGATCTTCCCTCACTCTTTTTATTAAAGATCACATATACTCTAGAGGGTACAAATACATAAATCATTTATTGGCATCGTTATAAATGAAACCCCGTCATTAAAACCACTAATTTCGACCTTAAACTTAACTTAAATCGACCTTTTGGACAACACTGCACAATTCTCTCCCGCGAACGAAATTTCAACCAATCAGGTGGGCGCGTCTCCGTGACGTCATGTGAGGTATACACGCGGGAGACGCTTTAGAATGCATGTACATTTGCGGGGGTAAATTATCTTGTTTACAGGTTTGTCTAAAACTGAAATCGTGGCAATTGGAGCTTTATGTTTTCATAACATAACAATTTCTCTCTTGGAAGCGAGCTGTGTGTCAATATAATACTACTTATAATATTATTGTCACTTCGACCACAACCTCGCTTCCGAGGCAGAAATCGTTTTTGTTACAAGTTGAAGTGATCTGAACACAAGTAAGATATCGTCCAAGGCTTCCACAACTTTCGCTTCGCACTCACAAATATAACCAATTAAGTACGAATGGCGGGGTTCGTCGGAAATCTGTGCAAGGTGCCACCTTCACCCGACCCCTTGGAGAAATTGATGGCAACACAACGATTCGGCATGTCTTCGTTGACCTCGAGAAATCAGCAAAACGACGAGCTTGTTACAAATTTTATATACAACTAACTTTAAATCCTTCCTCATATGACGTCACTGCAGTGCTCTGGCGACAGAGTTACGTAACCTGTCTGTGGTTTCGTTGGCGGGCGAGAGAAAAGCAGACGACTTTTTGGCAACTTTTAATCGCTCGGTATTAATTAACTACAAGCTTTTAATTAATGAATTTGGTGTTCCGCTTAAGACTAACCACATGCCTTTCATATGCAATGGTTAAAAGAGTACAAAACAATGTTTATTCGTTCTTTAAGAAAATCGTATTTTTTCTTTAACTGTACCCATGTATCTGCTGTACATTTCAAAGAATTCGAAAATGACTTGAATGTTTAACAAGTTTACTCTTGTACCACATCACTGACTTTGTGAAATGAAACCCGGGAGTAATGTTACCAAAGTAGGCCATTTTGCAGCGGGATGTCGATCAGCAAATACACAGTGGCAGTGTTCGTTACACACACGTCATCAGCCACCTGAGAAGACGTTAGGTCCCGGTAAGGCCCCTGGGGGTGGGGGTGGGTGACAAGGTGGGGCGGGGTTGAGTTAAGAAGCGGAATGACATGTGTAGTGATATTCATTATGAATAGTGGGATGGGGAATTGTCACACCAGGACCTGCATTCTTTAAACACATTAACAAATAGCAAAATATAATTGCTCCGCGTAATCTTGTACTGAATTTGAAACGTTTTTGAAAAATGGAATCAGTCTTGCTTTCTGGGACTGTCATGGAATTGTTGGGTAGATGAAATGTAACCCAAGTTTTTGTGGATGACTGAAATATGATTCGTCGCTTTAATTTTAAAAGGTTCTTATTATTTATGGAAATCCTAACATGATTAGAATTTGGGTTTTAACGAGCCACATTTGCTTTGCACAGTTTGGATCTGGACGTGCCAGAATCCTGTAATGATGGATCGAAACTTGCCCCGCTTTTCCCGCACAACAACCACGTACTTGACAACGGTACAAGAATCTGTATCGAAACGTCGCACTCACGAAAATAAAGAAGTTGTTATCCATAAAACTTGTTATATATTGTACGTCTCAACTTCTAAAATGCCACTCAAACAAGTCACGTACTTTTTTTGTTCGACGAGTGTGCCAGCGCGTGCTGGTTAGTGTGTGATAACATGTTTCGTATTTGATCATGCGCAACGATTACGTCACGATACATCTTAACACAGCTTGTCAATCACCTGGTGCACTGCTTGACTTTGTCTGTTCATCGTAATGCAGAGATTCTTTAACGGTTACCGGATCAGTGTGTGATAGTCACTCGTTAGTTTTGATGGATTATTTATATCATGATACTGTGATAACTTTGACCAACATAATTGTGAAAAAGATAACATCGGAAGTGATCACAGAGTTTCAACCCGAATATTCACTATCGCATTATGTAAATGTTTAATGTATGACAGCAGTCGTCATCTTCTATCCCAGTATTTATGTGTTGGGATCATATATACTTCACACAAAAAGGCCTTTCTTGACATGAAAGTGAATTAACTTGCCTCTGCGCGTGCTGTTTGACGGACGTGCTCTCCCCTTTGATGACGTGGCACCATCACTATTTCACTATGATTTAGAAACTAGGAACGTACAACGAATGATGCTTTGCAGATATATGTTATGTTAAAAGGATTCTGTGACCACAAAACCTACCAGTGGGCTTCTTGAACATATTGTGTCACTGTGTTTCTCATCAGTCAACCACGGTAATACAAATATGTAGAATATGTAAGTAATCTGAAATCCGATGCCTGTTAAATGTAGTAGAATGCGTAAGTTATTTGAAGTTAGCGAGCTGTGATGCAACATTGCTGATGCTGGCCACTTAATGCACACAATCAGCGCAGCAGGAGCCCAGTCATTGCAGCTTACTGCTTACATGTGTACGTGCTGCGTCATGACATGCGATACCCAGTTATGAACGAGATAGTCAAGTGATCTGTCTGGTTCGTGTTGTATTGCTGGTAATGGGATAATGTCATTAAGAAAGTCACGTGATAACCAATTCCAACATATATTGAGAAGAATTCTTCTGTCCCAACCATTCCCACTTCCATCACGTTTAGAAGTCTGACGTTGTCTGCCCACAGCTCCTTCATCCAGCAATGGCGCCCCAGAACGTGTTCTCCATGTTCCGTCAGTCTCAGGTGCAGGAGTTCAAGGAAGCCTTCGCCCTCATCGACGTCAACAGGGACGGCGTCATCGAAATAGACGACCTGAAGAGCATCTACGGCAACCTGGGCAAAGTGCCCGCCGACTCCGAGCTGAAGGAGATGTTGAAGGAGGCCCCTGGTCCCCTGAACTTCACCACCTTCCTCAACCTGTTCGGGGAGAAGATGGGAGGGACGGACGGCGAGGAGACCATCCGTAGCGCCTTCGCCATGTTTGACGAGGAGGGCAAGGGCGTGCTGCCCGAGGAGTACATCAAGGATCTCCTGGAGAACATGGGAGACAACTTCACGAAGGAGGAGATCAAACAGACGTGGAAGGAGGCCCCTATTTCCAAGGGCATGTTCAACTACGTGGCCTTCACCGCCAAGGTCAAGGGCAAACAGGACGACGAGGAAATGGCCAAGGCTTAAATAACAAACGATATATCTTCACTATAAAGGACACATGACAAGACATGACCAATGGTCTTCGCCTGTTTTCAGTTTATGTCTATATGAGGTGCTGTGAGTTTTACAAACATTTCAAAACCAGGGAGGACATGAACAGTGCCTAACGTTTACGCTACTTGTTACCTTGACAATGCTATGTTTGTCATGGGAAAGGCCACGAGAACACATTAGGAATCACCTATTCACATGTGAATAGTTCTGCCACTGTGTCTCAGGTAGCCATGTTGTTCATGAATGTCACTATTTGAGCCTTTGTCTTCAATGAGCTAAATAAAAATCAACAGCGATCATGTATTGTTTTCCATACCTTGATTAATTGCGTGTAAGGGTGCTAGTTCAACACCACGTGTTATAAGGAGAGAATGTGTCTCGACAGGAATTATGGTTTACTGTCCTAGCAGCATGTAAAGACATCAAACCGTTCGTATGATAAAAAGAAAAGGATGCATTATATTGTTATAGCAGGGTCAACGTGGCCATAGACTACCAACACTCTGCTGGGGTGTGAGGTTGTTTATTTCGTAGGATGAAACATTGCTGAATGTTAAACGACACCCTGTAACAATAAATATAATAATATTATATACATGTCACACAATTCATACAAGATACATATAATTCCATACACGGGTTAATACATATGGACAATTACCAATAATACTCAAAGCATGAGTACCATTATTTACAACACATATGGAATATGGGCATTATGAAATTACAGCATTACGAATAACGTAATGATGATACATGCATACAATGTAATACACAGAAGATAGATTATAATACACCATTACGCATTAGTCGTTATGATAAAGTACACATGATTCGTCACCACGCATTACGTGATGGTATTATATACAAATACATGGATATATAAATTATACATATACACATACCCTGTGGGTGGTACAAGGGTGTACAACAATCGGGCACAGCACCAGACTTATGGACGGGGTCTTATCTGCTGCAAATAATATTAGATGATAAATAATATACACTTATAGTTATCACAGTTAAAACATAGCAACTTATATTAAAACACATTCTCTCATCTCACACATTCAGTGAAAGGCATAGTAAAGATAAGAATATATTAGTGATACTTATTTATGTTTATACCTTAGGCTTGAAAAGCTAGCATAAATACATTCAGCACACTTACATGCTATACAATATAATACCTATTTAAATGATAGTAAATAGATATACGTTTATTATATAAATACTGCAAGGATTAAATGCAATATTACTTTAATTAAATGAATACTAACCTTAATGTCACACTGTGTCTGTCCAAGCTATCTTTACATGGCAGAGAGTCAGTGCAGAATGAGTGAAATTGTGCATGGAGTTAGTGAGACCAATCAGCGGAGAAGCGTCATGGCTTGGGCAATTAGTGAGACAGGCCAAGCTCTAAAGCTTAAACCTTAAACTGCCTAGAAATAATAAAGCTAAAAGGAGAAAATAATAATATGATTAAAATACGATATTTACACTAAAATACACCTGCCACAGTTTATGATAAATTTACATGTTGAATCAGTGGACAATATATGGCCAGGGTAGCAAGGGGCCGCAATAAGTCAATGTTCTTTGAAAAGCAAACGATTGATTCTCCCACAGAGGATATTGAATGTCGCTGTATTATAAATCTAACTGTGGCACAATCGTCTTAACCATCTCACACAACCAGCATTCCTCTCCAGAGTAATCGAGTAAGGCTAAAATTAATTTCTCGCTTCCAATATGTGTTTTGTACATGTCACAATATATGCATCTCACGAGCACTGCTCCATGAGAAACTGATGCTGTATGCTGTGTGATGTGTGTTGTGATACGGATGTTCCCTTCATGTCCGGTTGATGACCATAACATTCCATATATAGATTATTTATGAGTGGTGATATTGTGCAGCCGTTGTGCAATAATGTGGTGACAGCAACACATGACTTGTTGTGAGCTGTTCGAACACAATTAGGAGATAAACATACTGTGTTGGAAAATGAGAGTTAATAACGAAATTATAATAGCTCTAAATAAAAAAATAGAACTATTACAATTTCGTTATATACCTCTCATTTCCAACACAGTATGTTTATATCCATTCTGCCATAACCGAGTTATTCAGATTTTAAAAAGCTTCATTTTGTGTTGAAAAATCAGAGGTATATAACGTGATTATATACCTCTGAATGACTTTAAGTAACCAATCACAATCCCGTATTTACTGAAGTCATGGTAGAATATAAGTTATCTCCCTTGTATTACAACTCTGTCCACCTTTGATTCCCGATGTTTTGTCTCACATGTGGGTGAAATGCGGTGCTATGAACACTGCTCAGAATGTTTGAGTTCAAATTTATCATCTGTATAATACAGTGACTATACATATATTTCGGCATTTTCGTGGTAAGAATTTCGTCTGAACTGTGTTGAGTCCTATCATAAATAGGCTGGGCCTCCGACAGCAGCTACCCTAGTTGTCACTGTTTTCATTCCATTGTGCATCTGTGTCAAGGAATCTTCTTTCGGAATATTTCCCTTCAACTAACTCATAAACCACACAGTCATGTCATAAAATATTTTATTCATGTTTCATTCGTTGCGTACAAATAATTTTACATGTGATCCTCCAGGTCAGTACTCACATGGGCCAACATCCACACATATTCAACGTATGGTACGTCTTCTCACACTTGTAGAAAAATATATGCATTTGAGAACAACATCAAGCATACCTTGGGACAATGATGGTTAACACCAGTGAGTCAACACCCGGTGGATTGTTAGCCCCAACCGCCAAGGACACTATGCACACGGTAGATGAAGACGTTGCCAGGCGTGCGACCAATATGACAGGTCATATGTTCGGTCAAGTATTTCCATAGCGGTCTGGTCAGCGTATAACACCATGGTCTACCATGTGGATTTGTAGCTGACGTTGCAGGTGATGATGCTACGGACGTTGATGCCATCGAGGTTCCGTGACACACCAGTCCAACCAGCATTGAGAGTAGTCTCCCTTGATTACCACTCCCAACGTCACAACGTTAGACTGCACGTCCCAATCAGCAGTCTTCAATAGCATGTTCTGTACACTCATCCCTACATAGTTTAACATCTTTCACAGATAAATCTCCAATGACAGCTCATGTTCATGGCAACTGGAAGACGTTTACTACACTCCGACAACCATTCCCTTCTTTGGTTTAATTGGATAACCATGCTCGCATACACAATATATCACATACAGCGTCAGTGGTAATGAAACAGACACGGTTTACTAACATATATACACGTATGTGAAATAAACGCACCAGAGACCTCCGACTTACCCTTTGTTATGCCAGTGTATGCTAGATAGTGTAACGACAAAATAGAATGAATAGAAAAGATCGGACGAAATTTGAACCTCTTTCATAGCAAACATGAAATCACTTTTACTACGAATATTGCTAACACGGATAAGGAGATATTTGAACTGGTTAACCTCAGACCGTGGTCACACAAGCATTGCAGACTCATAAACTCAACCTATGCGACTTGTAATAAATCTCCAATTTTAAAGGGTGACACGGGAAAACGAGAGTATTGTCCATTGTACAACGAATTAATGAATCAACCCCTTTCACAATGCCAATGAGGATCGTTTACTCTAGTACACACGTGTTGAACCTATTGTAATTAACACAGCATAGGCATGTGAGAGGTCAATGCTGTAATAAGTTATCGGCCTCTCCTTCAAATCAGGGAGTACACACATTGGGATGGTAGGTTAGTGTATGAGTATACGAGGAGACACGAGTATAAGGGTGTGTACAGGTGACATGATACATCAAGCGGGTCACAGACCTACTACACAGAAGGACACAAAATCGATGCAGTTACGTTCGAATCGTAATTGTCTCTTTAGGCTGATTGGCTGGATCACACGATTGTTGTATTCGTATCCGACATGGGTTGTTGCAGTATGAGGTCGTATTTACAACGGTGGAGGCCGTCAGCCTTTGCCCTGACGGTATTGTTCTGGAGATGCTCTGTTTATACATATTGTGATTTCAAAATCAACATTTTCCTACACATTCCCACACTAATGACAGCGTTAGATTATAGAAAAATACCAATCTTCAACTGTGACAACACAACATCACAGATTAACGGCCCAACATGATATACATCTTGATTGAAGTCCCCCCCCACGTCCCCCACACATCCCCTCCCCAACCAAGACAAGATATTTTAACAACGTAGATCAACTCAGAGCAGATAATACCGCAAAGAACATTGTCTAAATAATCAGAATTCTACATCACAAAGTTACAACGTATTACCAAATATGCCGATGTAAACATACATGTTTTAAATCTACTGTATATTACTACTATGAATCGCACGCGTACATGTGTACCGTAGAACAGTACGTTGGAATGGCGGTGACGTTGATCACGTGATGAAATACACATGCACCATGATGAATCTTGCTGAGATCACGTGTTGTGCTGATGTAATTTTTCACATTCGGAACCTTTAAAAACGCACATATAATCTCCGAAATCAACAACATGCATATACATTCTCTTGACATAACCATAACAAGATATAATGTATGTACAAATTGGAATAAATAGTTGGGAGACCGTAGAAGCTTGGCACAATGTACACCGTTAGCCAGTGCCAGAAGGAATGGTTACCTCGGGATATGTCCTCAAGCAGAATCGTTACAATAACAATATACACAGACATTTGGCGTAAATCATTTCATAAAAAACAACGTGTTTTCTCTATCGTGATTAGGACATAATGTGTAACACAGAAGGGGCAGTGGTCTACGTTCACGTGGACATCTTTGCATTAAATCTATCAATACTACTGCGATAAACGATATCCTGTTCAGAAAAAAAGATATGTTGATCGTTAGAATTAGTAATCTGGTCGGGATTTGCATGATAAATACAAGGCACATGTATTGCACTCCGCTTCATACTATATCTCCATACTCAATTATGTTTGCTCTTCAATATATTCAGATTATTTTTCAATGTTGATTTTTTTCATATTGATGCAGTAAAAGAACAAAATGTGGTTCTGGTATGAACTATACAAAGACTAAATTGTACACGAATAACATGCAAATAACATGGTATTGTTAATAATATGTCATACTCTCACAATGCTGACATATATCCCCTAGCTATAACACAAAATACCCAGGGTCAAGACAGGTGGACGTAATCACAGCCAAGTCACCTGGCACAGATGCATCGATCCAGATGTTACAATCACCTTCGGATTAGTTCTGTGACACTTGACCTCTCTTAAAGGGAGATAATAATGCCAGCCTAAGGCCAAACGTTGTAAAGAGGGTTCTGGGGGAAGGTGAGACAATGTCCAAAAATAATTAGGGTAATTATTTGCTGTTAGATTGGCAGAAACAATACAGAAAATGCTACAGTTCCTGGTTCAAACGCATTGGGACGGCTAATAGCACGTGATAGTCCTCCTTGAACCAGGGGCGACCACTCAGGTCTGCTGTGTAGTTACTCTCCTCTTCAGTGACAACCTGTGTCATGAGTGTGGGCGGTGGTTATTGAACAACGATAACTTGGATCATATTAGCGTCGTTATTTAAAGTTGATTGGATCCACCCTCAGCAGTAAGTCAGGAACCTCGTCTGATGACGCACTGTACAGTTCTTTGTTTGATGCCTTCGTGGTTTCGTCCTCAAATGCCGAACTTCCAAACACTTCGTCATAGAAGTAACCGTCTTCAGCCTGTTCACGGTCGTGGTCGCGGTCGCGGTCGTCAGCGATGGCGAACATGTCACCGTCTGTGACACGTGGCATGGCGTCCACGGATTCAGTGTCGTCTGGTTCGAGCGGGCGACGGCTGCTGGAAGTTGATGATCTTCGAGGGCGACCCCTGGCGGTGAACCATTTCAACCTCCTGGAAAAGACAACCCCTGGTGAGATGAATGTCCTGTTTAGCCTTATGTTACACGTAAATACTCGTGTACGTCAACAAGCATGAACTCTTGTTCGTGTAAGAAATGGCGAAGCTACCCTTCCATCGTAAGATTCCAACCATATCTTAAACACGTGTTTATGTAATCACGTTAAAGAATAATGACAACGGGTCAAAGGTGAATGCATCTTCAGACCTGATACCGTCCTCAACATGCGGTTTTGAATAAAAAGTCCACAAGGCTGAGTGAGTTGGGGTTTACGCCGCTTTTAGCAATATTCCAACAATATCACGGCGGGGGACACCAGAAATTGTACCCATGTTGGGAATCGAACCCGGATCTTCAGAGTGACTGACGAACGCTTTAACCTCTAGGCTACCCACCGCCCAGGGGCTCCTTTCACGAAGCAACATTTACTAAGGTAAACCTTAACTCCCATTCTTTAAGATTGCACTAAGGTTATCTTAGTGACTTACGATCATCTTAGTACTTCGTGAAAGGAGGCCCAGGTCCACAAGAGGACGGTCCCCTGAACGGTATCACCTGAACATTCATATATAAACACATTGTTTCCAAATCATTTTTCTATCTCATCTGACAGGGAGTCAGCGCTGTCTCACTATGTCACTTGTCTCACAAAGATGCTTCCAAAAGGCACTTTCAGGGGCGTAGCAAGCCAATGTAAGCCCGATAGGTTGCAAAGCTGTATATTTAGAAAGTATTCAGTTCTTGCCCAACTTTCATGGTAATCTTTAGCAAAAATCACGTGTAAGCCCGGGCGTTTTTTATAATGGTATCTTCACCGTTGACTTTGCATTTCATTGACCATATTTGTTTATATCATGGCTGCCGTTAGTACAAGACAACACGCATGAGCATATCATAATGAGACGAGGGAATATTGTTTCCATGTTGAAAGTAAATACATTAAACCTTTTTTCAAGCTAAACTTACCCTGTTTTGTGTAGATAATACAAGACAAGCACACAGCCAAGAAACAGCAGTCCAACACCGATGGCGACGCCGACACCTGTCCCAGCGTTCATGCCTGCAACACACACGTGTATTTTCATAAACTGTGCGCAGGGAGTAATTTCAGCAGATCACCTAATCCGCAGCTGACCGAGGTTAGTCCAGGACTAAAACTAAACAATCTATTTTTCTGACAAATTGTAGACCCTCCGTGAGCGCTGAGTAAATTAGTATTGTTTTACGCCTCTGTTAGAAATATTTAAACAATATCACGGCGGAGGGACACCAGAAATGGACTTCACACATTGTACCCATTTGGGGAATCGAACCCGGTTCTTCGGCATGACGAGCAGACGCTTGAATCATTAGGCTACCCCACCCGACCCCGTGTTCGCTGAAGCGTGCAGATTTTCCCTCGCGAAGTGACATAGAATGACAAGCAACACGGAAATGAACACACCAACATACCAGTTTATAGATCATTGCAGTGAGATTAGCCTAACGATTCAGTTGATTTATATGTAATTTGCAAAGGAAAATTCAATAATATACATAATTATTCCAGAGATATGAAAATACACCACTCCGTCAGATTCAGCCAACCACGGTCTCTGTAACATATTAAACAGGATATATATATGCTTATGTAGCACATTATTTCCGAAGTCTAAAATCTGCAGAAGTAAGACATGATAAAGATAATGATTGTTTTCAAATGTCATGTATGCTAAATGAGGCGCTATTGGTACATGCGTTGTAACAATATTACCGTGACCTTGTCCATAAAATGAGTCCCTTACAGTTTCTATGGCAACCGAACAATGAGGTCAAAATCACACCCGCCTCAGTACAGACCAACATCCGGGTTTGTCAGGGCGTCGTACATAATGACATGTAAATGGGACATCTGCACATGCAACCGACTTTGTTCGCATAACATTAGTTTACCCGCAGTACGCCTGCTTCAAGAGACACGTTTAACGGGGTACTTGTAATAATAAACGCGATGTTCAACGAGTGGAATGTTGTCTGTTTGAAAAGGTCAACAGCACTTGAGATGTTAGAGATATTTATTTTTCAACACAGAAATAAAGTTTCTTTCGCATCATACCAAACTAAATACATTGTACAGTCCTTTCAGTCAGTTTGTTAACACGTGTTTCATCCAGTGGGAAATTGAGGCAGGTGAAACAATTTCACCAGTCCTCATATTAAGGTGCATGCATGAAGATTGATAGTGACAAAACAGTACCCGGAAACGGCGTGACAAGAGGATAACAACATTCACCATCCCCTTTACTTCGAGTAACAGGGCTTCAACCCTAACTGAACATTTCACAACTTATAGGTACAATCCAGAATTCCTCGAAAACTTCACAGAGCGTCATACGACCTTTGTTCACACGCTGTTATCAAGGTTACAACAGTGAAGTGGGAGGTTACTACATGTACAGGTGGGTTGTATCAGAGAAGGAGGGAGGTTACAACATGTACAGGTGGGTTGTATCAGAGATAGAGGGAGGTTACTACATGTACAGGTGGGTTGTATCAGAGATAGAGGGAGGTTACTACATGTACAGGTGGGTTGTATCATAGATAGAGGGAGGCTACTACATGTACAGGTGGGTTGTATCAGTGATGGAGGGAGGCTACTACATGTACAGATGTGTTGTATCAGTGATGGAGGTAGGCTACTACATGTACAGATGGGTTGTATCAGTGATGGAGGTAGGCTACTACATGTACAGATGTGTTGTATCAGTGATGGAGGAGGCTACTACATGTACAGGTGGGTTGTATCAGTGATGGCTGGAGGCTACTACATGTACAGATGGGTTCTATCAGTGATTGAGGGAGGCTACTACATGTACAGATGGGTTCTATCAGTGATGGAGGTAGGCTACTACATGTACAGATGGATTGTATCAGTGATGGAGGGAGGTTACTACATGTACAGATGGGTTGTATTAGTGATGGAGGAAGGCTACTACATGTACAGGTGGGTTGTATCAGTTATAGAGGGAGGTTACTACATGTACAGGTGGGTCGCATCAGATATAGAGGGAGGTTACTACATGTACAGGTGGGTTACATCGGAGATAGAGGGATGTTATTACATGTACAGGTGGGTTGTATCAGAGATAGAGGGAGTTACTACATGTACAGGTTGGTTGTATCAGAGATAGAGGGAGGTTACTACATGTACAGGTGGGTTGTACCAGAGATAGAGGGAGGTTACTACATGTACAACTGAGTTGTATCAGAGATAGATGGAGGTTACTACATGTACAGGTGGGTTGTATCAGAGATAGAGGGACTTACTACATGTACACATGGGTTGTATCAGAGATGGAGGGAGGTTACTACATGTACAGGTAGGTTGTATCAGAGATAGAGGGAGGTTACTACATGTACAGGTGGGTTGTATCATAGATAGAGGGAGGTTACTACATGTACAGGTGGGTTGTATCAGTGATGGAGGGAGGCTACTACATGTACAGGTGGGTTGTATCAGAGATAGAGGGAGGTTACTACATGTACAGGTGGGTTGTATCAGTGATGGAGGGAGGTTACTACATGTACAGATAGGTTCTATCAGTGATGGAGGGAGGTTACTACATGTACAGGTGGGTTGTATCAGTGATGGAGGTAGGCTACTACATGTACAGATGGGTTGTATCAGTGATGGATGGAGGCTACTACATGTACAGATGGGTTGTATCAGTGATGGAGGGAGGCTACTACATGTACAGGTGGGTTGTATCAGTGATGGAGGGAGGCTACTACATGTACAAATGGGTTGTATCAGAGATAGAGGGAGGCTACTACATGTACAGGTGGGTTGTATCAGAGATGGAGGGAGGCTACTACATGTACAGGTGGGTTGTATCAGAGATAGAGGAAGGCTACTACATGTACAGGTGGGTTGTATCAGTGATGGATGGAGGCTACTACATGTACAGATGGGTTGTATCAGATATAGAGGGAGGTTACTACATGTACAGGTGGGTTGCATCAGATATAGAGGGAGGTTACTACATGTACAGGTGGGTTGGATCAGAGATAGAGGGAGGTTATAACATGTACAGGTGTGTTGTATCAGAGATAGAGGGAGTTACTACATGTACAGCTGAGTTGTATCAGAGATAGAGCGAGGTTACTACATGTACAGGAGGGTTCTATCAGAAATAGAGGGAGTAACTACATGTACAGGTGGGTTGTATCAGTGATAGAGGGAGGTTACTTCATGTACAGGTGGGTTGTATCAGAGATAGAGGGAGGTTACTTCATGTACAGGTGGGTTGTATCAGAGATAGAGGGAGTTACTACATGTATAGGTGGGTTGTATCAGAGATAGGGGGAGTTACTACATGTACACGTGGGTTGTATCAGAGATCGAGGGAGGTTACTTCATGTATAGGTGGGTTGTATCAGAGTTAAAGGGAGGTTACTACATGTACAGGTGGGTTGTATCAGATATAGTGGGAGGTTACTACATGTACAGGTGGGTTGTATCAGATATAGAGGGAGGTTACTACATATATAGGTTGGTTGTATGAGAGATAGAGGGAGGTTACTACATGTACAGGTGGGTTGCATCAGATATAGAGGGAGGTTACTACATGTACAGGTGGGTTGCATCAGAGATAAAGGAGGTTACTACATGTACAGGTGGGTTGTATCAGAGATGGAGGGAGGTTACTACATGTATAGGTGGGTTGTATCAGATATAAAGGGAGGTTACTACATGTACAAGTGGGTTGCATCAGATATAAAGGGAGGTTACTACATGTACAGGTGGGTTGTATCAGATATAAAGGGAGGTTACTACATGTACAGGTGGGTTGCATCAGATATAGAGGGAGGTTACTACATGTACAGGTGGGTTGTATCAGAGATAGAGGGAGGTTACTACATGTATAGGTTGGTTGTATGAGAGATAGAGGGAGGTTACTTCATGTACAGGTGGGTTGCATCAGATATAGAGGGAGGTTACTACATGTACAAGTGGGTTGCATCAGATATAAAGGGAGGTTACTACATGAACAGGTGGGTTGCATCAGATATAGAGGGAGGTTATAACATGTACAGGTGTGTTGTATCAGAGATAGAGGGAGTTACTACGTGTACAGCTGAGTTGTATCAGAGATAGAGCGAGGTTACTACATGTACAGGTGGGTTCTATCAGAAATAGAGGGAGTAACTACATGTACAGGTGGGTTGTATCAGTGATAGAGGGAGGTTACTTCATGTATAGATGGGTTGTATCAGAGATAGAGGGAGTTAATACATGTACAGGTGGTTTGTATCAGAGATAGAGGGAGGTTACTTCATGTACAGGTGGGTTGTATCAGAGATAGAGGGAGTTACTACATTTTACAGGTAGGTTGTATCAGAGATAGAGGGAGCTACTACATGTATAGGTGGGTTGTATCAGAGATAGAGGGAGTTACTACATGTACACGTGGGTTGTATCAGAGATCGAGGGAGGTTACTTACATGTATAGGTGGGTTGTATCAGAGTAAAGAGGAGGTTACTACATGTACAGGTGGGTTGTATCAGAGATAGAGGGAGGTTACTACATGTATAGGTGGGTTGTATCAGAGATAGAGGGAGGTTACTACATGTACAGGTGGGTTGTATCAGATATAGAGGGAGGTTACTACATGTACAGGTGGGTTGTATCAGAGATAGAGGGAGGTTACTACATGTACAGGTGGGTTGTATCAGAGATAGTAGGGAGGTTACTCCATGTATAGGTGGGTTGTATCAGAGATAGAGGGAGGTTACTACATGTACAGGTGGGTTGTATCAGATATAGTGGGAGGTTACTACATGTACAGGTGGGTTGTATCAGATATAGAGGGAGGTTACTCCATGTATAGGTGGGTTGTATCAGAGATAGAGGGAGGTTACTACATGTATAGGTGGGTTGTATCAGAGATAGAGGGAGGTTACTCCATGTATAGGTGGGTTGTATCAGAGATAGAGGGAGGTTACTACATGTACAGGTGGGTTGTATCAGATATAGAGGGAGGTTACTACATGTACAGGTGGGTTGCATCAGAGATAGAGGGAGGTTACTCCATGTATAGGTGGGTTGTATCAGAGATAGAGGGAGGTTACTACATGTACAGGTGGGTTGTATCAGAGATAGAGGAGGTTACTACATGTACAGGTGGGTTGTATCAGAGATAGAGGGAGGTTACTACATGTA